AGGTGAGGGACATTGGGGACACTGAGGGGACACTGGGGACACGGCAGGGTGGTGGAGCCCACACGGGCCGTGTCCAGAGAGGTGAGGGACATTGGGGACACTGAGGGGACACTGGGGACACTGAGGGGACACTGGGGACACGGCAGGGTGGTGGAGCCCACACGGGCCGTGTCCAGAGAGGTGAGGGACACTGGGGACACTGGGGACACGGCAGGGTGGTGGAGCCCAAACGGGCCGTGTCCAGAGAGGTGAGGGACACTGGGGACACTGAGGGGACACTGGGGACACTGAGGGGACACTGGGGACACGGCAGGGTGGTGGAGCCCACACGGGCCGTGTCCAGAGAGGTGAGGGGACACTGGGGACACTGAGGGGACACTGAGGGGACACGGCAGGGTGGTGGAGCCCACACGGGCCGTGTCCAGAGAGGTGAGGGACACTGGGGACAGATGTGGTGGTGCCTGTGCATGCTGCTGTGTGTGGTGGCCCTGGGGACAGTGGCAGTGACAGTGGCTGTGTCTGTGCCTGCTGCTGGCGGTGGCCCTGGGACAGGGACAGTGACAGCAGCAGTGTCTGCTCCCGGCGGTGGCTTTGAGGACAGTAACAGTGACAGTGTCCGTGCCCCTGCCCCTGCCCCTGGCGGTGGCCCTGGTGACAATGGCAGTGCCCTGTCCCTGCCCCTGGCGGTGGCCCCGGTGACAATGTCCGTGCCCTGTCCCTGCCCCTGGCGGTGGCCCCGGTGGCCCTGTCCCTGCCCCCGGCGGTGGCCCCGGTGGCCCTGTCCCCTGGCACGCCGTCCCCGCCGTCCCCAGGACTCGCAGCGGCCCGGCGCGCACCTGACGGTGAAGAAGATCTTCGTGGGCGGCATCAAGGAGGACACGGAGGAGCATCACCTGCGCGACTACTTCGGGCAGTACGGCAAGATCGAGGTCATCGAGATCATGACCGACCGCGGCAGCGGCAAGAAGCGCGGCTTCGCCTTCGTCACCTTCGACGACCACGACTCCGTGGACAAAATCGTCAGTGAGTGACGCTGGGGACACCTGGGGACAGCCCGGGGACAGCCTGGGGACACCTGGGGGTGACAGCCCGGAGATACTGCGGGGACAGCCTGGGGACACCGCGGGGACAGCCTGGATGGGGGCAGTGTGGGGACACCTGGGGGTGACAGCCTGGATGGGGACAGCCTGGGGACACTGTGGGGACACTGCAGGGACAGCCTGGATGGGGACACTGGGAGGGTGACAGTCTGGCTGGGGACAATGTGGGGTCAGTGCCACCCCAGTCAGGTCAGTGCCATCCCGGCTGGGTCAGTGCCACCCTGGTGGGGTCAGTGCCTGTCCAGTGGGGTCACTGCCGTCCTGTCCGGGTCAGTGCCACCCCAGTCAGGTCAGTGCCACCCTGGTGGGGTCAGCGCCACCCCAGTGGGGTCACTGCCGTCCTGTCTGGGTCAGTGCCACCCCGGCTGAGCCACCGTGTCCCCGCAGTCCAGAAGTACCACACGGTGAACGGGCACAACTGCGAGGTGCGCAAGGCGCTGTCCAAGCAGGAGATGGCGAGCGCCTCGGCCGGCCAGCGAGGTGAGCGCCCGCCGGGGGCACTGGGGACAGCCACGGGGCTGGGGGGACATTGGGGGCAACCCCAGGGCTGGGGGGCACAGGTGGGACCCCCGGGCTGGGGCAGTGGGGGCAACCCTGAGGAGCTGGGGGGACATTGGGAGCTGGCACTGCCCCACACCCAGTTTATGGGGGAAGGGTCACCGGGGGTTTGGGATCTCTGGGGAAGGATCAGGGGGATTGGGATTTCAGGGAAAAACATTACTGGGGGGTTTGGGATCTCTGGGGAAGGATCCTGGAGCTCGGGGTGTTTGGGATCTCAGGGAAAGGGTCACAGGGGTTTGGGATCTCAGGGAAAGGATCACGGAGGGTTTTAGGACCTCGGAGAAAGGGTCACAGGGGTTTTGGGATCTCAGAGAAAGGATCCTGGAGCTCGGGGTGTTTGGGATCTCAGGGAACCCATCCCGGAGACCACAGTGTTTGGGATCCCAGTTAAAGCCCCCTGGACTCTGGGCTCCCAGTGAAACCATCCCGGAGCGTTTGGGATCCCAGTTCCCCCATCCCAAATCTCCCAAATGCCCCGATCGTGGGGCACCCCTGGGTGCTCCCGCTGTCCCCCCCGAGCGTTTGGGATCCCAGTTCCCCCATCCCAAATCTCCCAAATGCCCCGATCGTGGGGCACCCCTGGGTGCTCCCGCTGTCCCCCCCGACCCCGCTGTCCCCTGATGTCCCCCTGACCCCGCTGTCCCCCCCCAGGCAGCAATTTCGGGGGTGGGGGCAGCTACAACGACTTCGGCAGCTACAACAACCAGGCCTCGAGCTTCGGGCCCATGAAGGGCGGCAGCTTCGGGGGGCGCAGCTCGGGGCCCTACGGCGGCGGTGAGTGCACCTGGGACCCCAAAAACCCCCTGGGGACCCCAAAAACCCCCTGGGGAACCCCAGAATATGCTAAATGTACTGGGGGCAGCTTCGGGGGGCGCAGCTCGGGGCCCTACGGCGGCGGTGAGTGCACCTGGGACCCCAAAAACCCCCTGGGGACCCCAAAAACGCCCTGGGGAACCCTAAAAACCCCTGGGAACCCCTGAAACCCCCGGGGAACCCCTGAAACCCCATAGGAACCCCAAAATACCCTAAATGTACTGGGGGCAGCTTTGGGGGGCGCAGCTCGGGGCCCTATGGCGGTGGTGAGTCCCCAAAACCCCCTGGGGACCCCAAAATATCCTGGGAGATGCTAAATGTACTGGGGCGCTGTCCCCTGATGTCCCCCTGACCCCGCTGTCCCCTGATGTCCCCCTGACCCCGCTGTCCCCCCCCAGGCAGCAATTTCGGGGGTGGGGGCAGCTACAACGACTTCGGCAGCTACAACAACCAGGCCTCGAGCTTCGGGCCCATGAAGGGCGGCAGCTTCGGGGGGCGCAGCTCGGGGCCCTACGGCGGCGGTGAGTGCACCTGGGACCCCAAAAACCCCCTGGGGACCCCAAAAACCCCCTGGGGAACCCCAGAATATGCTAAATGTACTGGGGGCAGCTTCGGGGGGCGCAGCTCGGGGCCCTATGGCGGTGGTGAGTCCCCAAAACCCCCTGGGGACCCCAAAATATCCTGGGAGATGCTAAATGTACTGGGGGCAGCTTCGGGGGGCGCAGCTCGGGGCCCTATGGCGGTGGTGAGTGCACCTGGGACCCCAAAATATCCTGGGAGATGCTAAATGTACTGGGGGCAGATTTTGGGGGGTGCAGTTTGGGGCATTACAGTGGTGCTGAGTCCCCCAAAATCACCTGGGAGACCCCAAAATCACCTGGGGGACCCCACAGTGGTGCTGAGTCCCCCAAAATCACCTGGGAGACCCCAAAATCACCTAGGGGATTGCCAAAATCACCTGGGGGAACCCAAAAATCACCTTGGGGGAGCTTAAAATGTGTTGAGGTGGCCTTAAAACAACCTGGGGGAGGCGTTAAAATGTGCTGGGAAGAGCCTAAAATAAACCTGGGAGACCCCAAAATGTGCTGCAGAGACCCCAGCGTGTGCTGGCAGGGGTCCTGTGTCGCTGGCGGCTCCGGGGGGTCCCCAGCTGTGTCCCCCCCAGTTTTGGGGTGTCCCTAAACCCCCCCGGCTCCGCAGGCGGCTACGGCAGCTCCAGCGGCGGCGGCAGCTACGGAGGAGGGAGGAGGTTTTAACGGCCAGGTGAGGGGAATGGGGAAAATGGGAAATGGGGTGGGGAAAAATGGGGAAAAGGGTGGGGAAAAACAGGGAAATAGGGTGGGGAAAGTATGGGGAAAGGGTGGGGAAAACTGGGAAAGAGGGTGGGGAAAAACTGGGAAAAAGGGTGGGGAAAGTATGGGAAAAGGGGTGGGGAAAAACTGGGAAAAGGGGTGGGGTAAAACAGGGAAAAAGGGTGGGAAAAATTGGGGGGAAAATGGGAAGGGAATTGAGAGAAGAAGCAGTGAAATGGTTGGGGAGAAAGGTGAAGGACAATAAAAAGTTGGGAGGAATGTTCAGGGGGAAAAGCGGGAAAATATGAGGGAAATAAAAGGTTGGGAAAAGATGAAGGAAAAGTAGGAAAAAGGGTGGAAATCAGGGGAAAGGGTGGGAAGGGGTGGGGCTGGGAATTCCAGCGGGATCGGGGCAGGACTGGGGTGGGATCGGGGCTGGGATCTGGGATTGGGGTCGGGGCTCTGCCCCTGCCAGAGCCCCCAACACCGGAGCCTCTCCTGACCCCAGCCCTGCCCCAATCCTGACCCTAAGCACAGTCCCCACCCTGACTCTGTCCTGATCCTGTCCCAACCCCAATCCCAACCCTGCCCCAGTCCTGACCCTGCCCTGATCCCAATCCCAATCCCAATCCTGACCCTGTCATGCTCCCGACCCTGAGCCTACCCCAATCCCAGCCCCAATCCTCCTCCCGACCCTTCCCCAATCCCAGTCCTGATCCCAACTCTGACCCTGCCCCAACCCCAATCCCGACCCTGCCCCAGTCCTGACCCTGTCCTAACCCCAATCCTTATCCCATCCCTGCCCCAATCCTGGCCCTGTTCTGATCCCAATCCCAATCCTGACCCTCTTCTGATCCCAGTTCTGACCCTGCCCCAACCCCAATCCCGACCCTGCCCCAATCCTGACCCTGTTCTGATCCCAATCCTGCCCCGATCCCAACTCTGCCCCGATCCTGACCCTGCCCTGATCCCAATCCTGATCCTGACCCTGTCCTGATCCCAATCCTGCCCCGATCCCAACTCTGCCTCGATCCTGACCCTGTTCTGATCCCGCCCCTGCCCCGATCCCGATCCCGATCCCGTCCCTGACCATTGCGCTCTGTCCCGCAGGAGCCGGAGCTGGGCGGGAGCCGGGGCGGCCCCTGGAGCCAGCGCCGGGCCAGGCAGAGCCCGGGACCCCCCCGGGACCCCCGGGACCCCCCCGGGACCGCTCTGGGTCCCCCGGGACCCCCTGGAGCCCTCCCGGGCTCCGCAGGCGGCTACGGCAGCTCCAGCGGCGGCGGCAGCTACGGAGGAGGGAGGAGGTTTTAACGGCCAGGTGAGGGGATGGGGGAAATGGGAAAAGGGGTGGGGAAAAACTGGGAAATAGGGTGGGGAAAAACTGGGAAAAGGGGTGGGAAAAACAGGGAAATAGGGTGGGGAAAGTATGGGGAAAGGGTGGGGAAAACTGGGAAAGAGGGTGGGAAAAACTGGGAAAGAGGGTGGGGAAAGTATGGGGAAAGGGGTGGGGAAAACTGGGAAATAGGGTGGGGAAAACTGGGAAAGAGGGTGGGGAAAGTATGGGAAAAGGGGTGGGGAAAAACTGGGAAAAGGGGTGGGGTAAAACAGGGAAAAAGGGTGGGAAAAATTGGGGGGAAAATGGGAAGGGAATTGAGAGAAGAAGCAGTGAAATGGTTGGGGAGAAAGGTGAAGGACAATAAAAAGTTGGGAGGAATGTTCAGGGGGAAAAGCGGGAAAATATGAGGGAAATAAAAGGTTGGGAAAAGATGAAGGAAAAGTAGGAAAAAGGGTGGAAATCAGGGGAAAGGGTGGGAAGGGGTGGGGCTGGGAATTCCAGCGGGATCGGGGCAGGACTGGGGTGGGATCGGGGCTGGGATCTGGGATTGGGGTCGGGGCTCTGCCCCTGCCAGAGCCTCCAACACTGGAGCCTCTCCTGACCCCAGCCCTGACCCCAATCCTGACCCTAAGCACAGTCCCCACCCTGACTCTGTCCTGATCCTGTCCCAACCCCAATCCCAACCCTGCCCCAGTCCTGACCCTGCCCTGATCCCAATCCCGATCCTGACCCTGTTCTGATCCCAGTTCTGACCCTGTCCTAACCCCAGTCCTGATCCCAATCCTGACCCCGTTCTGATACCAACCCTGCCCCAATCCTGACCCTGCCCCAATCCCGCCCCTGCCCCAGTCCTGACCCTGCCCTGATCCCAATCCTTATCCCATCCCTGCCCCAATCCCGACCCTGTTCTGATCCCGACCCTGCCCCAATCCCAACCCTGCCCCAATCCTGACCCTGTCCTAACCCCAACCCCAATCCCGACCCTGTCCTGATCCCAATCCTGCCCCGATCCCAACTCTGCCTGGGCGCCCGAGGCGGCGTGTCCAGCCCCGCGGGGCGGCCGGAGCCCCCCTGTCCTGTACCCCCCTCAATAAATGTCTCTTGGGTTTTTTTTTTAAATTATTTTTTATGGTTTTTGTTAATTGTAGAGGCGGGGCGGCCGCTCGCCTCCTGATTGGTCGCCTCAGCTGTCAGTCACAGCCTGGCTCCGCCCCGTGGCCCCGCCTCTGGTGTCACCCTGGGTGTCCCCAGGTGTCCTCTGGGTGTCCCCTGGTGTCCCCAGGGTGTCTCCAGGTGTCCCCAGGTGTCCCCTGAGTGTCCCCGGGTGTCCCCAGGGTGTCTCTGAGTGTCCCCTGGTGTCCCCGGTGTCAGGGCTGTCCCCGGTGTCACTCAGGGCTGTCCCCAATGCCCCAGTTGTCCCCAGTTGTCCCCAATGTCCCCAATGTCCCCCCATGACCCCGAGTGACCAAAGGTCAGGCGAGGCTCCGCCCACAGAGGGCGTGGCCATGAGAACAGCGTGACCAACGCCAGGAAGGCGCTCGCTTCCGGTCACGTGATCAGAGACAGCCAATCATAGCCCGAGCCCGGTAAAGGGGTGACGTCAGCGCTTCCCCGGTCACTATGGCAACTGCGCCGCCCCCTCCACTTCCGGGCGCGCCGTGCCGCGGTGATTGACAGCTGGATCCTCCAATCACCGCCCGTCTGCGGAAGAGCGGGAAAGATTGGTCCGCCCACCGCGCGGGAGCGCGCAGCGATTGGTGGGATTGAGACGGAGCTGGGCCAATCAGCCCGGTGGGGTGGGGCCAATGGGAGTGATTGGCAGGCGAGCGGCCAATCAGAGGCCGGCGCTCTTCCGGCTCCACGTCGGCAGCGGAGGAGGCAAAATGGAGGCGCTGGTGCTGGTGAGGCCCGGGGACACACGGGGACAGGGGGGACACGGCCCGGAAGGGGATGTGGCCCTGGGGAGGGGACAGGGCGGGTGGCCCGGGCGTCAGGGGGTGGCCGATGTCCCTGTCCCGTTCTGCATGTCCCCATGTCCCCAATGTCCCCGTGTCCCCCACACTGTCCCCATGTCCCCAATGTCCCCAGTACTACGATGACACGTACCCCAGCGTGAAGGAGCAGCGCGCCTTCGAGAAGAACATCTTCAGCAAGACACACCGCAGTGACAGTGAGTGACACTGGGGACACTGAGTGACACTGGGGTGTGACAGGGACACAGGGACACAGAACATCTTCAGCAAGACACACCGCAGTGACAGTGAGTGACATTGAGTGACACGGGGGTGTGACAGGGACACAGGGACACAGGGACACACCGCAGTGACACTGAGTGACACTGGGACACTGAGTGACACAGGGGTGTGACAGGGACACAGACACACAGAACATCTTCAGCAAGACTCACCGCAGTGACAGTGAGTGACACTGAGGGGACAATGAGTGACACTGGGGACACGGGGGTGTGACAGGGACACAGGGACACA